TATTGAAGTATAATTAATATGCAATGCTATATCAGTTTCAGGTATACAACATATTGATTCAACAATTCTATACATTAGTCAACACTTACCATGACAAGTGTAGTCATCCGTTACCATACAATGTTATTAGTATTATTGACTGTATTCCCTTTGCTATATAAAATTTCCCATCTTATGTCCAACAGGTGAAAAGCTGTCATTTTGATGGTTATAAATTGTAAATTTTTTCTTATATAAAACCCTTCCATCCCTCTTTTAAATTGCCCAAAATGGATAAAATATCATATAAGACCCACCATCATATATTTTAAAAGTACATAAACAAGTTGTCTCTGATAGTTGGAAAATTTACATCACTCCTTTTTCTATGTATCTCTCTTCCCTCTGATGCGAACACAGTCAGGTGCCAGGTAGGACTGGCTCCTTGGCCTGGATCCTGGAGTGCAGAGATCATAGAGTATGTTGTCTCTACTTTTCTCTCATGAGCCTCCCCCTGGGAAGTGTTGCATTCACAGACATCAAGTAGGGGATAGAAAAAATTTTCATCACTCCTGCTACCCCTACTTATAATACATGTGAGTTCAGAACATTGCCACAGAAGCCAAAATAGCCTGTTTCTAATGTCACAATATATACACAAGAGAAATGTGTAAAAGAGAAAGACACAAGATCCCATAGCAGGTGCATGGGGTTTTGATTAATGGAGGCATCATCAATACTGATATGTGTCATTTCACTGGAGATTTTCACACCCCCAAACAATTCCCTGTGCTAGGATTTCAGATATGCGAAAGTATGACATCCTTTGGGAAAGTGGAGGAAAGGCAAATGTGAAAAGAAAGGTGGAAAAGAAATAAAACTTCCTGAATTGCAGGCACTTTTCCAGGCCAATAAATTTGAGAAAAGAGTATGTGCGACTACATAAAAGACTATGTATGGACACTGAGGGTATGAAAATTGATGCTCTGCACACTTTTTGTGCCCATGTACCTTTTGGAAAAGTCTCCTATCCCCGTCAGGCTCCTGGACCCTGATGTGAAGACTGTTGCTGCAGACTCAAGACAATTGAGAAATCTAATAGGCAATGCTTGAGAAATAAGATATTTTATCCTTTAACATTTGTATTGAGTTTTCTATTGCTGCTTAACAAACTCAGCAGCAGCAAACAACACACATCTATTGTGTGGCAGCTTCGGTGAGTCAGGAGTCTGAGCACAACTTAGCTGGGTCCTCAGCTCAGGGTCTCTTAGGCCTGCAGTCAAGGTGTCAGCCAGGGCTGCAGTTTCATCTGAGGTTCAAGCTCCTCTTCCAGTCTCACTGGTTTGACAGCATTCAGGTCCTTGTGACTATAAGACAGAGGTTCTCAGCTCCTAGCAGCTGCCTATAATTCCCTGCCATGCAACTCTCTCCCCAACATGTCAGTTTCTCTCTTTAAGGCCAACAGGAGAATGTTTGTGCTGCTTCTTCTATCTCTGACCACTAGACCCATTTTTAAAGCACTCAACTGATTGGGTCAGATCCACCAAATTAATCTCCCTATTTGGTTACCTTAAACTCAGCTACTGCAAGGGGCTTAATTACATCTGAAAAATCCCTTCATCTTTGCTATCTAATGTAACATCATCAAGAAAGTGATATCCCATCATTTTTGTCATAGTCTGCTGGTTAGAAGTAAGTTAAAAGACTCACCCACAATCAAAGGGAGAAGATTTTACAAGGGCATGGGTCATTGGAAGTCATCTTAGAATTTTGCCTACCATTTGATTTAAGCCAAAAATAACATTAGCCTTATGAATATAACAACTGTGGAGTGTTTTAAGTTTAGAATATAAGCCCGACAGAGAAAGACAAATACCATATGATCTCACTTATATGTGGAATCTAAAAAAAAAAAACAAAATAAATGAACAATCAAAACAAACCAAAACCAGACTCTTAAATACAGAGAACAAACCGGGGGCTGTCAGAGGGAAGGTGGGTAGGGGAGATGAACAAAACAGATTAAAAGATACAAACATCCAGTTATAAAATAAATAAGTCACAAAAATGAAAAGTACAGCATAGGGAATATAGTCAATAATGTTGTAATAACATTGTGTGGTGACAGATGGTTGACTATACTTATCCTGGTGAATACTGAGTAATGTATTGAAATGCAAATCAATATTTTATATACCCGAAATTAATATTATACTGTATGTTAATCATACTATAATTTTTAAAAAGCTAAAAATAATGTTAAAGGACAGTCTGTAGGGCACTCAATATTTAATGATCCTTAGAAGGATCACCAAGGAAATTAGTGTAAAACATAGATGTCCCAGACCCCACTGCAGTGATTCTGATCCAGGAGGCAAAGAATCAGCCAGAAATCTGCATTTTAAATTAACTTCTCCCTGATGATTCCAGTGCAAGTGCTGAGCACACACTGAAAATCACTAATACAGTGTTTCCATAATTAAAGAATGGCTTCAATTTTCCCAAGGCTCTGCAGTTTGGGCCAGGGAATTCCTCCAAGTGTGTTTTGCCCCTCTTTTTTATAAAAGCTGTATTTCACAGGCTCCACTTCTCCGCTTAGCACCTAGCATATTGAGAAAACTTTATAGAGTCCCAGAAAATACCCTCCACCTAGATAAAGTCCCTCTTGCAAGACTAAGCTAATAGCCTTATCTCCAGTGTACACCACATATAAAAAATGTTTTACTAGCACGAAGTGGATACAAACCTGGCCATTTCTCCTACTAGAGTTTCTGCCATTCTTAAGAGAAGAGTAAGAGGACAAAAGCCTAATTCTCCCTCCAGTAGGCCAGGATCTTCCCTCCAGGCAGCAAGGCTGCCTCGGGGGCGCATTCCCCTTTGGGGCCCTTGCTGAAGGTAGGGGCTCTCTAGAGGCCCTGGGATCAGGAAGGGGGTGAGAAGGAGTGGGGGGCCCCAACAATGCAACTCCTAACTTTCCTCCTAGGCTCCACCTAGCTAAAGGTCCAAGGCGCCGTGCGAGTCAATCTGTGTGGGTTAGGCTGGGTTGTGAAACCTTCCAGCACCAGAACTTTTCAGGGAAGGGAAAGATTGAAAGCATTCTAGAAGTCCGTGAGGGCATCGAGAACATGGCTACAGATACCCAAAGGGAAATCAGGGGTCACGAGGACAAGTCAGAGGGAAGAAACCCGCAGCGCTTGATTGACTCTCTAAGGGCTTATCAGGGACAGCTCATGCTCAAGGCATTGTCGCAGCCCTCCACGTTCCGTACCACAGAAAAAAGGCTCTCTCACAGCCTGACTTTGTACCTTCTTGAACAGCCAGTCAAGCACACCACACTCCTCTCAGTAGAGATCACTTGTCATAAATAAAGGATGTTTTAACAATTGTTCCTTAGTCCCTCTTAACCCAAAATCCCATCAAGCCATTTAGAGTTCTCCTGTACAACTTGACCTTGACTTCCAGGAAAGATTCTCAAAGACTGAGAAAAAGGGACACATCAGGACTGTCTGCAAGTATGGCTTTTAGGATGTAGGGAGTAATGCGTGTAGCTCAGGCATCACGTGGCAACCCAGAGAAGAGAGGTGAAAGCGACAAACCAAAATTTGCAGTCTCACAAGAGTGCTGGGGCAGAAAGGTACATCCTTCTGCTTTCCTCACAGGTTAACATGGAAGTTCACAGTGGCTGACCCAAGCAAACTATTTAGTAGGTAAAATTTGTCTGTGCTATTCCAACCCCCCAGGTCCTATCTACATTCTCTACCAGCCATCACTTCTTCCTTGTCTGCCCATTCCATCCTATCTCAGATTTCAGACTATAGCCTTGAGTTCTTTTCCTATCAAAACAACTTCACAGTAAAGAATCAGAAAGTCATGGGGGTGGGGAAAAGGAGAGAGGCAAACCAAGAAACAGACTCCTAACTATAGAGAACTAACTGATGGTTACTGGTGGGGGAAAGGAGGGATGTTAAATAGGTGATCGGGATTAAGGGTGCGCTTGTCCTGATGAGCACCAGGTGATGTATGGAAATGCTGAATCACTATATTGTACATCTAAAACTAACATTACACTGTATGTTAACTAACTGCAATTTAAGTAGAAAATATATATATATATTTTTAAAAGAAACAGAAAGTCATTTATATGATCTTAGAGAATAGGTTAAATTATTATTGTTTTCACTTAAGAAAGATATAAAATTTTTAAATGATACCTTTATGATGGAAATTAAGGCATTAGTCAGTGGACAAAACAGATTTGTATTTGTAGGATTTCTTTTAAGGGAAGGCAAAAAAATTTTCAAAATCATACCACATAGGCAGTCCTGTGGACTTAAGCTTTTATGAATACTTAAAAGGAAAATACTATTATTTCCCAGTAGTATTTCCTCCAGTCACTGCAGTTCTTTGAAAGATAATATCCAGGATTCCTGTTTCAGCTCCAACATGTAAACAGTTTAGAAGTTGTCACTCCCTTGTCTACAATAAGAAAAAGCTGGATAAACTTGATAAATATTTGTACACAGGATTTTGTGTAGACAAAGTTTTTAAATCAGTTGGTCAATATCTAGGAAGCACAACTGCTGGATTATGCTAAGCCTATATTCAGCTTTGTAAGAAACTGCCAAACTGTCTTCCAAAGTGCTGTCCCATTTTGCATCCCTACCAACAATGAATGAGAATGTCTGTTGTTCTGTATCCTAATTAGCAATTGGTATTTTCAGTTTTTTGGATTTTAGCCACTCTAATAGGTTTATAGTGGTATTTCATTATTGTTTTAATTTGCATTTCCCTCATAACATAGGATGTTGAGCACCTTTTTATATGCTTATTTGCTGTCTGTATATCTTATTTGGTGAGGTATCAGTCCACATCTTTTACCTATTTTTAAAATTGGGATGTTTCTTTATTGCTGTATTTTAAGAGTTCTTTGTATATTTTGGATACAAGCCTTTCATCAGATATATTTTGTAAATATATCATTTTCCTTCTGCCTGATGAGCTTCTTTTAACATTTCTTGCAGAGCAGATATGCTAGCAATGAAATTCTTCAGTTTTTGTTTGTTGAAGAAAGTCTTCATTTCTCCTGAATATCGAATTTCAGGTTGGTATTTTTTTTTCTTTTAATGCTTTAAATAGTTTGTTCTCTGTTCTTGCTTGCATGATTTCTGATGAGAAGTCCACTGTAATTCTTAGTCCTGTTCCTCTACAGATAAAGTATTTTTTCTCTGACTTTTTCAAGATATTCTCTTTGCTTTGGCCTTTCTACAGTTTGATTGTGATATTCTTAGGTATGGATTTTTTGGTTTTAATCTTTCTTGGTGTTTTTGAACTTTCTGGATTTGTGGTTTGGGGTCTGTCCTAATTTTGGAAATTTTTCATCATTATTACTTCAAGTATTTCTTTTGCCTAGTCTTTCTTTTCCTTCTGGTATTCCAATTTCATGAATGTTACACTTTTTGAAATTTCTCACAATTCTTGGGTTTTTACATTTTCTTTTCTTTTTTTTTTTTTTTCTGTTTTAATGTCAGTGTGAGAAGTTTGTATTCACGTATCTGCAAGCTTACTGACTCTTTCCTTGGCTGGGTCAAGCCTACTGATGAGCTCATTGAAGGCATTCATCCTTTCTATTACGGTCTTTAACTTCTAGAATTTCCTTTTGATTCCTTAGGGCTTCTATCTCTCTGCTTACATTACCCATTTGTTCTTCCATCTTGTCTACTTTTTCCATTAGAACCCTTAACATATTAGCCATAAGTATCTTCAATTCCCTGACTGATAACTTTAACATTTGTGTCATATCTTATTCTGTTTCTGATAATTGCTTTGTCTTTTCAAACTGTGAATTTTTTTTCTTATTTTTTGACATGACTTGAATTTTTTTTTTCCTGAAAGCCAGGCGTATTGTATTGGGTATTAGAAACTGAGGTAAATAACCTTTTAGTGTGGGAATTTATGTTACTCTGGCCAGAGTTGGGCTATGTTTAATGTTTGCTGTAGTTGTAACTGTCAGAGGGTTCAAATTCCTCTAGTGTCCTTGTTTGTCTCACCTGTTGACTTTGGGGAAAATTCCTAAGTACTGCTCCTCAGAGAGAATCTATATCTTGCATATCTTTCAGCTATAATCCAGTTATACAGGATCCCTATTTGTGTGGTTATAAGGGACAAAGGAGGATAAGCATTCTATAATCCTCTGGTTAAGTTTCAGTCTTTTAGTGGGCTTGTGTCTCTTGTCTGTGACCTTCACAAGTTTCTTTTTTTTCTCCCCAGTGCTATAGCTCTTTATTTCCCTCCTTTGCCTGGCTACAATGTTTCAAATCTATTCCTTTGAACCTCTTATCTCTGTTGAGTATGTTCCCTACCCCTGTCCCCATCTTAGGTGAGACAGGAAGGCTAGAGAGGTCTGGAGTGGGAGTAAAGCCCTTTCCACAGATGACAGAAAACTCACAAAATCTTTTCTCCTGGGGAGTAAGTCTTTATTATGGACAAGGTTTGGGTATTTTTCACAATTAGTACTCTTCCTCTTCCCCTGACAAGGCAGTGAGGGGATGTTTGTAGGATTTTTATCTTGAGAACTAGTGAGATTTCTTGGGGTAAATCACACAGAAATTAGAGGGCCCCCAAGGAGATTTTCACTGTCATGTCTCATGTCCAAGTGTAACCTCCAGCAATATATCAAAATCACCATTCAAATGTTTCTCTATTTTATCACTCCAGGGACTACTGCTCCATGTATGACTCTCTCTTTGCACTTATTTCTCCTTATTTGGGGGTAAGAATTTTCCCTCCAACCTTGATTCTTTGATGGGTGTTAGAAAAGTCATTGATTCACAATTGCCAAAAACTAGAAGCAACCAGGATATCCTTCAATAGGTTAATGGATTAACAAACTCTGATATATTTTGGACACTGGAATATTATTCAGCAATAAAAAAAGAATGAGCTATCAAGTTATTAAATGAAATGGATAAATCTTAAAAGCACTGTGAAAGAAGCAAGTCTGAAAAAGCTCCATAATGTACAATTTTATTTGTATAACATTCCGGAAAAAAATAACACTATAGAAATAGTAAGCAGAGCAGTGGTTACCATGGGGTTTGGGGCATGATTAAATAGGTGAAGCACAGCGCCCTCTAATTTCTGTGTGATTTACCCCAAGAAATCTCACTAGTTCTCAAGATAAAAATCCTACAAACATCCCCTTACTGCCTTGTCAGGGGAAGGGGAAGAGGAATAGTACTAATTGTGAAAAATACCCAAACCTTGTCCATAATAAAGACTTACTCCCCAGGAGAAAAGATTTTGTGAGTTTTCTGTCATCTGTGAAAGGGCTTTTTTTTTTTTTTAGGTCAGTGAAACTACTCTATATGACACTGTAATGGTGGATATGTGAAACTATGCACTTGTCAAAACCCATGGAACTTGTGCCAAAAGCACAAGGAGTGAACTTTAATGCATACAAATGTTTTTTAAAATTATTTAGAAGGTAGGGAGATCCCAGGATAGAATGAAAAATGTGAAGAAAAAAGAATCTAACTGTATAACAAACATATGAGACAACATTGAAGGGGGTGGAGGGAAAAAGGGCTGACCTAAGTGACTTTGGAAATAAGTGGAGTCTATAAGACTAAAGATGAAAGGAACTACGCATAAGTACTGTACCCTAATTGATTAAGTTGTTTCCCCTGGGAGGAGAGATTAGCAGTTTGAAACTCTACATGCATATTGATTAAACAGTAAATGGATGGCAGATATTGGGAACCAGGTTTCTTACTGCTGGAGTGGGAGGTTACATATAAGGGGTAAAGGCTATAATAATCCATTTGGTGATGGAGTTGAAAGCATCCTTATGAAATCATGTTCAGCTTAGTATAAATACAGATGGTTACATAAATATTTATAGACATGTGTATGTATAAGGGCCTGGAATCAACAACAGACCACCAGCAGCAACAAGCACACCTAGAACTCAGATATTGGTTTCTAACACTATTCTTCAGTAGAAGGAATAATGGTTTTTTGAAGAAATGGCTGATTCTAGGACAGGCAAGAACTATCAAAGATGAGTCTGGAGCATTTTATAATGCCATAAAGGATGGAATTGCTCAAAAAAACCCCACAAGTTGGGGGTGAATGTCAAAGAAGTTAATGGAAGGAGATCCCAATAGCCAAAACTAGAACAATTTGAGCACCAAAATAAATAATGTAGTATTGGATTATAACCCAAAATACAAAATAAGTATCTATGAGGCCATAGTGATCTAAGTAAATGGTTGAATAAATAAATAAATAAATAATAAGAGAATAAATAAATCACCCATGCAGAGGAAGTCCAAATAATTTGTGTAGATACTCTGTCCTCAAAGATGTGGAGCTTCACTCCCCACTCCTTAAGTATAGGCTATGCATACAGATTTCCCTCCAAAGAGTATAGCAGGGAGAGAGGGAATAAAGGTAAGTTTATAATGGAGAAACTTGACAAACACTAACATCAACAGTGATAATTTACAGTAATAGTATATACACCGGATATGATGTAAAGAAAGTGGCACTTCATCCCTGGGGTTTTCTTCCCTAAAATCTATAACCTGGCCTAATCACACAGAAAACATCAGACAATTGAGGAGATTATACAAAATATCTAACCAATACTCCTGAAAATTTTGAGGGTCATTTAAAATAAGGGAAGTCTGATAAACTGTCACAGCAAAGAGGAACCTAAAGAGTCATCCCATCTAAATATAAATATAAATTATCTATTTTAGGTAGATAATATAATCTATTATCTAAAATAGATAAAGGGCACTAGGTAAAAACTAAGTATGTTTGAATAAAGTGTGAATTCTAGTTAACAACAATGTATCAATGCTGGTTCATTAATTGTGATAAATGTGCCATATTAATGTAAGGTATTTATAAGAGGGGAAACTGGATTTGGGATATATGGGAACTCTCTGCTATTTCATAATTTTTCTGTAAATCTAAAACTATTCTAAAATAAAAAATTTATTAAACACAGTGTTCAGGGACGCCTGGGTGGCTCAGTCAGTTGGGTGCCTGCCTTCAGCTTGGGTCATGATCCCAGGGTCCTGGAATCGAGTCCCACATCGGGCTCCCTGCTCTGTGGGGAGCCTACTTCTCCCTCTGCCTCTGCCTCTCTCTCTCTCTCTCATGAATAAATAAATTAAAAAAAAATCTTAAAAAAAAAAAAAAACACAGTGTTCATCATACCATAAAAAATTGTGAGACATATGAAGAAAAGTAATCAGATGACTGATGACCAGAAAAGTAAAAAAACCACCAATGGGAAAGACCCACAGATAAACAAATTATTGGAATTAGATGACAAGCACTTTAACTATAATAAATAGGTTAAATAAATGAGAGGAAAAGATGGACAAAGCAAATGAAAAGATGGACAATTTCTATAGAGAAGTAGAATTTCTAAAAACTAACCAATGGATAACCTAAGACTGAAAAATACAGTGTCTTAAATTACAAATGCATTAGAAAGGCTTAATTAATATCAGACTGAACAACAGAAAAAAAAGGATTCATGAACCTGAAGACTGGTCAACTACATTATCCAAACTGAGAATAAAGAAAAAAGAATTGAAAACAAAAAACAGAGCACAATGTGAAAGGCATGTAGGACAATACCAAGTTTTCTAACACATTAGTTGGAATGGCATACAAAGGTGAGAGAGAAAATGGAATGTTCAGAATAGTTGTAGACATAATGGCCAATAATTTTCTAAAACAGGTAAAAAAGACATAATACCACACATTCAAAAAGCTCAGCAAAACAGGATAACTATCCAGCCAAGCAAGAAAACACAAAGAAAGTCATACCTAGGCACATCAGTTAAACTGCTACAAAACAAAGATAAAGAGAAAAATCTGAAAAGCAGTCAGAAACAAATAGACCCATTATATTCAAATCAACAGCAGTAAGAATTTTGGCTGACTTCTTAATATTTGCAATGAAAGCTAGAATGACACATAAAATGTGTTGGAAGAAAAAACTGCCAACCTTAGAATTATATACCCAGTGAAATATCTTTCCAATCCAATGTCCCCAAACAGTACTTACCTTCTTTCATT